TTGCTATATACTGAGCTTTGGGTCACGGGGGAGGTTAGTATATGTCCTCCCGTGACCCTGAAGAGAACTATGGGATAAAACGTTTACCCAATAGTTCTCTTTTAACGCACGCTATCGCACCTAGTGCTAGGTGCATCGTGTTGCCATTCATTTGAATGCTAGGGCATTGTGCAATATCATGCATTGATCGAATGGTATTGTGCTTGTCCGAGAACACCACACTGCCTGGAACATGTCACGAGGCTGTGCAACCTTTAATAGGGGGCTGCTGGAGTGACAACGCTGATTTACATTTTAATAACACAGTGTGAGCATTGACACCTTACACATGCAAGTGAAATTGGGGCAGGGTTTCTGGTAGGATCAACAGATATGTTTTACTATACAGAGTACTTGCACCTAAAAATCACAGAGCACATTGTGATAATGTGTGTGCATTCTGTGATGCATTGACTTTTTAGTTTTACCCATACATGCACTTTAAATGTACACTCATGTACACATATATACTTTGAGTATACAGTATATGTTTATGTGGAACTATACCCTATATTCTACTACATAAATTTGTATAACCCTCAGGGGCAAGCAGGGCTATTTGGATGTGTGACCAATAACTACATTACCAGCTTTAGCAAATTGGTTATTAAGGCAATAAGCACAACTCTTCTGAAGAGTCTGAAAAACATATAGATGACATTTATTTCCCACATGTAAATACATTAATAGACAGAATAGATTTCATTTAGAGCATCAAGTCTGCTAGGTGCCGTGCTTGTTTTGCTTTAACTCCCAGGACCATGCCTCTATATAATTCTCCGTCTAACTATTCAAAGTGTTTTTAAAATCCTTCATTTAGGACACACAAAGCAATCTGGGCTGTCATTTACACAATACATCATAAACATGATTAGCTTACTAGAACTATCAGTTCCAGTCATCAGAGGATGATATGCAGATTTATGGTAAATTATCAGTATAATCCTTATGTTTAAACTAGGTAATAGGTGGTACAATTAGATTTGCGCATACTTGGTAACACAAATGCTTGCAACCTGTGTTTAGGATTTACAGTTCTCCCATTTGTGCAAACAGAAAGGACAAGTTGATAAAACCAACAGATTCAACAAACCTTTTCACATCAGTGAAAACGTCCATATGCTTAAGAAGGTCCAAATTAAACCTTCAGCTAATATTTTTTTCATACATTTAAAATTAACTGCAGGTAGATAAAAACATAATTTATTCCAGATAAGTAATCATTAAAAAAATCAAATTTTTTTTTTGTTTGATTGTCTTTATTTTTTGTATAATAAACAGATGATCTATGAAGTTAAATTAGATGATAAATAAAAAAAATAATAATGAAAGAGGTGCGTATTATCACATACTGTATGTGTAATTTACAAACATGCATGTACAGCATAAACTAATCATAGAGCAAGGAACATGGTATTGGATTATCCATATGTGGAAGCATTTGCTAGGTATATGGATAACATAACCATGTTGTTAGGGTCCAAGCATTCTCAACATTTGTTAAAAACCCAGTACTCTCTTCCTATATGGTGATTGCTTAATTGTGACAGGGAACATATAGAAATTATCAGTATAAGATGCTGCAATTGTTGTCAGTTGTCTTTTGGGAAGTGGGGTGGATTTAGAGGATTTACAGAAAGTTTTAAATAGAATCTTGGTGATGTTCCCATGCTTTGCCGTATAGGCTCAGAGTATTGAGCATTCTAATGGATTTTTGTTCCATTGTGTGTACATCCTTTATCCTCGAATGTAGTTCTAGCATAAATGGGGGAAATTTCTACTTTAGTCCCCATTCACACTTGTGCACTGAGGGAACGTATGCCAAAGCGTGCACGTTGGCATGCGTTCACACAATGCGATAAAAATGTGTGACACGCTCGTGGTGCCATTATTTGTTAAGGGCACCCCAAACACAGCCAATAGAAAGCGTGTCTTTGCCCACAAGCAGACACATACCAAACGTGCATAGACGTGTGGTCAAAAAATGAGTGAAGCTAGCAGCTGAAACTGCTGCAAAAGCTTCCTTTCCGTGCGGCAGCTTATTGAAATAAATAGGCTCATCCGTGGCAAATGCAGACAAACGCAACACGCAGTCCCGCGTGCTGCAAGTGCACACCAAGTGTGAACAGGGCCTTAAGTCCCCCATACTTCTGGCAGCAGCAACTATGTGTTTTATAGTTTTATGGGTAGGTTTAGAGACCTGTATATGTTAGTCTCAGGATGCTGGTCTTGGAATCTAATTCAAGTTGTATTCCAAGCACCATTTGTAGGATCAAGGACAATTGTAGGCAGCCCAGTGAAGGAGCTCCCAGATGGCCGACCGCCAACTAGCCAACCTTTGCTGTACCTGGCACTAACAAATCCTCACGTCCTGATGTCTAAGGGTAGGAAGTTAAAGCTGTCAGCCAAGGTGGATTGCAACACTTTTTCTTCTTACCTGGCATTACTCAAAGAATGACCAAGAGCCTGAAGCATCCTCTGAGGTGGAAGGTCTCAAGCAGTTCCTGAGACTGATTTCAAATAAGGCAGACTTAGTTACTCGCTGTAAGAGTGAAAACAGCTATAGAAGAAGAGAAATTGCTACAGTACATTTGTCTCCAAACAATTACAGTAGTAACCATATTAAGAATTGGTGAGGTTCAAGATATTACATTTTTGTTTTTGGATTAAGCTACACTTTAACTTTTGTTACTTCATAAACAGTGACAAACAGTCTGTGCATACAGAATTTTAAAGAATTCAATAAAGTATTAATTTAAAAAGTGATGTGAGGAAAAAGCAATATGACCACAGACTATAATATGACTAATTTAACAGTGTTCTTTACTAGATAGAGAGCATTTAAAATTCAATTTTCACTGCTACTCTTCTGTTCACACACACTTTCGGTCTCTACATACTTTTTGAATTGAAATAGTAGGCTCAATTATTTGGAAAACTACCTCAATTTAAACAATGCACAAGGATTAGAAAATATATGGGATCACAGTAGTGAGAGCTACATTTTGAGGTCTTTCCTCCTAAAGAAGGAGGCCAAAGAGGTAAATTAAAGATTACATTTATCTGCCAAAACTTTAACGCAAAATAAAAAGTAGTTTTCCTTTAAAAGAAACCTGTAGCTAAACTGCAGATTCTGATAAAAGCTTAGTCTCCCAAAACTGATATTTCATCATTGGATGAACACGAAGCTGAATCAAATGCTGGCTTCTGATATATTCAATTCCTGCAGCCAAAATGTCATAAAAATTTAGAACTCGTTCACATCATAGTGTTGCACTAAATGCACAAGATCCGTGCAATTAGCACATGTTATTGCACAGTGCACTACAACACATGCTGGGTCTGCTGGTTCGTTGCATTGCTATTTATTTGAATAGTAACCCAATGCACCTTCCAGTGGGTACGGGTTGTAGCAAGCTACTGCAATACCATGCATTTTTTCACAGAACCCCAATGCATGATATTGCAGTACGACACATTTAGCTGCAACACATGCCCACCTGCTGGGAAGTGTGTTGGAGTGCCATTTAAATGAATGGCAACACACTGTACCTGCACACCTAGCACGCAGTGCACTGTGCAGTAGTGCCTGCTAAATGCATGGGTACCGTTTCTTTTGCGCAACGCTATGGTGTGAACCAGCCCTCACCCTGATAATTCCATTGACACTGATTTATCTAACAGCATTGGGCCTCATTCACACATGTGCCAAAGCAAGGTGGTAGACACGTGTGTTTTTAAAGGCCTTAAGCTACATACTACTGCCCCTGATCAGTGGACAGTGCAGTACACATGTGTGGTTATGATGCATTGCAGAATTATAACGCATGCTGTGTTTGGGAGGCTTTGTCACTTGGTAACAACCTCCATTCATGGAAACGCATCTTAACCGCAAGTGAGTTCGAGAAGTGTCAGTGAAGAGTTTACAAGGCACTGGGAGAAAGGCACTGGAGGTTCCTAATATCTCAAAAAGCAATGGGGAATGATAGAGAAGAGAACAGCTCCAGTAGCCACTTCCTTTCCTTTCAGTTTTGTACCGTACCAGTGGCATTTAGTACCATTGTCAGCCAGAAACAATGCTTTTACAGCCACAACCAGTGCCAGCCAGCCTACATCACTTCCACTTTAAAAAAAATAATTAAAAACCAACACAGCGAGGGCATTTGGTCTAAAATGCTATAGGCTTGTTAATGGGTGTTTATCATTTTCTAATTTTCTATGCATGTGTGAACGAGACAGCAGAAGGTTAAGTCCTCTTGTAAAGAGAGAGGAATTCTTTGAAAAGGCTGTGGCATGTAGGCAGACCTGAGAATACAGATGCACAAATTCTGTAAGCAAGGTTACTTAGAATTACAAGAAACCATCATTCCTTTTAACTTTAAAGTTATTTTCCAGAAACCCTTGTCCCATCCACACAGACATCATGGCTTATAAAGGCAAGATTGAACATCACCTGTTTGGTTCAGTCATAACCTCCTATGCCACAATGGAGTTTATGACAAATGTGTAAATAAGAATCTTCACTTAGCTTAGTGAATGTGATAAAAATGCATGTTGCAAAACAACATCCAAATGCAAGAAAAAAAACAAAACAAAAGAAAACAGTAAGTAAGCAGTAATCAGCAGAGCGTCACCTTATACACCAAGGCAAAGGGAAATTCACTTGCAAAGTGAAAAGACTATTTTTCTTTAATAAATCAACCCCACTGCCTTCATCAAAATATTCAGATATTTTTGTCACCTTTAAGTAGGTCTCAGGTCTAGGTAAACCTGCTTTTAATTTAGTCACGATATATGCTCTGATATTGGTGTTGGCATAAATTAGATTAGAAACCTCACTTCAAGATGTACAACTTCCACCTTATGTTTGCAAAGGTAGAAAACCTCTTACTGAAGTGTTAGAGAAGCAGTTTTTTTCCAAGCAGTACACAAGGTATTGAAGCAAAATGGCAAAAAGATACCTGCAAGAAGTCCAAAAATGTAAAAGGCAGCAAGTCATCTAGATGTCCAATATCTTTGGAGAATCGGTTCAGAATCCGTCCTGCAAGAAAGAAAAAAAAATGATATGTACATGGCAAAAGCTTAAATGCCAAAGTTGAAACTCAATGCTTCCTATTCAGCAATGTTTTTTCTCCAACAAGCAGAGTATTACGTTTCAATTCAGGAGTTAACTACACAAAGAGCCCCTAATGCTTTCTGTTCATACTCCTAGAGAGCAAGCAGGTAAAGGAATCATCAAGGTACAAAAGTAAAAATAAACTGAAATGACACCTTCCTCTTTTTCATCTTACTACAACCTTTTAATCAATAGCCCTTTAGTTCAAAGCAGGGCTGGGTGTTGAAAGCATGTAAGATGCAGAATACCACAGAGTGTCCTTCGGTTGCTTATTCATCACCTGAGCAGAAGTGTTAGAGGGTAAGTGCCACAGACAAAATTTAAAAGGCCAATAGAAAAGACTGGTAAGAGCTTATTTTATGAGTCTCTTTAGAAGGGCTTATAGTGTCACTATGCTTTTCCCTAAAATGTATCAAATTTGATACTGTAAGGCAGGGTTGTGAGGTAATAAGCTTTGCAAACACTATTTATTACCCATCACATTCATATCCCTTAATACAGCCTCTGAAGTGTTGGAACTGCTCAAATGTTCCCTAATAGTTAAAGGAAAACTCCAATTTCATTAAAAAATTGCTACAAAAGCCATTTTGTAATGTAATGTTATTATAAATGATCATATTTTTAAAATCTTAAACAGCTGTAATATTCTGAAAATTCAATGCAATATGGTGTCGTAGACAGAATTAAATTCGATACCACACCCATCCTAGAAGAAAAAGGTTAAGGAGCACCCATATAGCATAATGCTAGAGAAACTGAGGTGGACACAAGTGCGTCTGTATAGCAGTTTCTCTAGCATTATGCTATATGGTTGCACCTTAACCTTTTTCTTCTAGGATGAGTGTGTTATCGAATTTAATTCTGTCTACGTCAATGGCAACCTCGAGGCGTTGTGCACATCGTTGGTGTGTATGTGTGATTGGCTCACATATTTTCCCAAAAGTCTGCACTAAGATACGATGAAAAGTTTAGGAATCCCCTGACATAGAAATGTCATTTTTGGTGACATACTCCCTAAGGATTAACTGCTTGTAAAGAAATGCAGACACTGCAACACTGAAAGTGCAGCAGGCAGTTGTAATAAAGGCAGATTCTCATATTCAAGAATCAGTTGAAAAAGAAAATGCTGAAACAAACTGCTTTTCCTTCAGAACAGAGAAAGGTAACAAGCTGCATCAAAATTTGTTAAAATCCTTGCAATGCACACTGATTACCCAGAGGGTTGTTTTTCCTCAACAAAAAGGAAAAACCCTGCCAATTGTATACTTTACACTATACTGATTAGCAAATGCAGAAACGTAATACAGATGGAAAACAAATTGTAATGACTTTTTAGGTTAGTCAAGCACCTGATTTGTAATAATCAGGCCTTAGGCCCCATTCACAGCCAAGTGGATGCGTTTCAGTTCAAATTTTAAAAGGGCGTTATTGGAATGTTTTTAATCGCGTTTCAGCGCTGAAACACAATTAAAAACGGCCATAAACAAGCTGATCTGCGAGTTGCCATTGAAATCTATATGGAATTTGCTCTGATCAGCATGAAAAAATAGCTCAGGGGAGCAGTTCGGATTGCGCGGAGCCACGTGATCGCATCAACGGTCCCCATAGGAATGTATGGAGTTGTTAATGTCGGCGATACAGCGCTGACAAATCCGCGTGACCGAACCGCCCTGGTGTGAACAGGTCCATACAGAGGCTTTGAAACATGTTGGAAAACCTTGTTGATACCAAATGTCCACAAAGAAAAGGAAACTACATTTTTCTGCTGAACTTTTACTGAAATGGGAAGACTGTGGTACGGCAGAGAGCCGTGACAGGATCGAGAGGTGAGCGAACGCCGGTATGTGTTCGCTCACCTCCCGATCTACTGAGCCGATCTGTGACAGTCTCATTGTCACAGGTCGGGCGAACTATGAGGTGAGTGAAAAGCACTCACCTCATAGTTCTCCTTTAAAGCACACAAGTCTTTCAAAGACAGGCAGGTGTATAATCAACTATTATTGTCCATATGACAAGTCAACTCCTACAATACACAGAGGATAGGGACAACACGCTCAGCTGCAAATAAATGTAAATGGCATGCGCACATACAAGCCCCTCCACACTAAAAGTAGGACACAGAACTGCTGAATTTAGTTCCATTTCAAGTAAAAGCTCAGGTAAAAAGACTTCATCAGAAAGAGATAATGATAATAAAATCCAGTGTGGGATGGTGAGATTTCTTCAGGGCAGGGGAATAGCTAATTGAATGGCACAAACTTCAGAATGAAGCTTAAATCTTCCGAATGTAAGTGCCTATCAGAAATGTTCTGGGATTAAAAAGGATAACCGCAGGGAGAGAGGATTCGTTTTAAAAGAACAACACAGAGATGTGATTAGGCCTTTAGAGCATTTAAACAATATTTAAATGCCTTTTAGCCTCCAAATAAGGTTGCATTTCAGATATTTTTCATCTTTTGATAAGCAAAAGATCAAAAGGATTGTCACCGGTTTGAGCTCTTCTAATGCAAGGAAAAACAACTTGCACAGAATAATGAACAGTAAGGAAATACTAAAAATCTATTGTAGGCCTATAAAAACTGCTTTCCTGCTATTGGAGACTATGGTTCTCTCCTCTGCAGGCAAACAGCACTGTTCTATATGTGACATTACGCACAGCCAGGCCTTTGCAAGCGTCATATGTAATCGGGACCTGGATTACATTGCATTAAGAGAGATTATTTCACTGCACTAATTGCAGTCAAGTGGAAGAAGACCAAAGATAAGCTTCTTCAACAGCGTCTATAAATTGCCTAAAAGACCTGTCTTCTCCATCTATATGCAGAGTGGCAATTACAGCAAATCATAAAATCTCAATGGCTGGAATGCAATATCTGATTTTACCTCGAGGTGGAGTGCAAGAGGAAAGTGAAATTACAGGTCTCCTTGGTTTAAGCATTTTCAATGTTTTATGCTTTAATATATTCCATTTTGTTATCTACAGGTATTGTTAACACTTTACACATGAACACATGAAGCGAATAAAATGTATAGTGCATAAGTTTATTCAAGAATGCTTAATGTAGTAATTCACTCAGACAACCAGGAGAAGAGTTGATTCAGAGTTTACAATTTACATGTGTGTGACATGTAATCTCAGGCAGGGCTTTATGCATTTAATATATTTGGGGGGGGATACTCTTGTGGAAAGAGAAGGAGCAGGATGGCCAGGATACCAAACACACTACAAGTGGCACATTTGTCACCATTTTTAACTGGTATCTCTGGATGTATGGCCACATTAAAAATGTAGGCCCAGGTATTAAATTGCACACCAGCATTTATAATCGAATGTTTAAGGGTTGCTTTATGATGAAATACAAAGAAGAAAGATATTATACCTGCAAAGGACTTGTATTTCTGTCCATCCAGTCCTGTGAAATACACCCCTCTGGAAGGGCAGGAGACCTAATTTGTTTCTGCTGCAGTTAATCAAAGGCCCCGTCACACTATACTACACATAAAACCTCATAAAAAATGCAAGCACATTAACATGCGTTAACATGTGTTCCGGTACGTGTTTAAGTGTTATCCATTGATTTGCACTTTTCAGTCCTGGAAGGTTAAAAATAATTGCCATTTTTTCCTTTCCATTTTTTCCTTTCCTTTTACATGCATTCATGTGTGTTATGTTGTGTTAAAATGCATACATGCTGGATTTAACGCAACTCTCATGCCCACAGCCTTGTGGTGTGAATGAAGCACATTGAAAACCATTGTTTTCTAAGTGGCCTTACAGTGACCCAAGTTGATCGGGTGCAGAAAAATAGGTCAGTGCACACGGTGTAAATAAGCTCTTATATATATATATATGTGTTGTCCCTCCCCCAACCTGTGACTGGACAGTGAAAGCAGCGAACTGATGAGTTAATTTCTCTGTCACTAGTCGCTTTCCTCCTGTCAGCATGTTTACAGTACTGCAGCACAGCTCCTTCTACTTCTATTTCTCCCAATCTGAACTCTAAGTACTTCTTTAAAGTACCCTGTACCCCTGTACAGTAAAGTGACATTTATTTAACATAAAACAATACTGTAATGTGTGCCTTACTGTAATCCATGGTTGTTTCCCTTCTCTTTGCTGCTCTTCCTTTTAAATCTGTATCTGTTCTCATGCTGGGCAGAACTTCTGTTTTGCAGCAGACTGCCTTGTCTCTGGAATGGATACATGGTGTCTGTGTGTAAGTTTGCAACCTGAACCAGCACTACAGGAAGAGGCACTCAGCTGCAAAGGGAAATTCTCCCCCAGCATGAGAAGACATGAGGATTTAAAAGGAAGAGCAGCAAAGAGAAGGGAAACAACCATGGATTACAGTAAGGCACACATTACAGTATAGGTTTATGTTAAAAAATCTGAGGGTTTGCAGGCCCTAGCTATGCCCGACCTAAATAAATTAATTAAGTATTTGGAAACGGATCCCTCCGACTAATTATATTCTATGGGTTTGGCCCTCCCTCCTCTTTCCCCGATGGCTTATACTGGCTCTCTGGGGGGGTTTTTCTCCTCTTTTGCTTTTTTGTCTTTTCTTCCTTGTTTAATGTTCAGTCATATGTTCGTTATTCATGTAAGTAAGTTATGTTAGTCATGGTACCAGCAGTTTGCAATATGTCTATGAAGGATTTTCATATTAATGGCACTTATAGCAGAGAACATCTATTGACTATGCCCCCACACTTGAAAAGGGGAAAGTGTGGAGGACAGGCTTCGGAGCAGATCCCACTCGCTAAATAACTACAAGGGTAATGTTATTATCCCGCTGGCTTAGATGGGAGGTTAGTTAGGTTAGAATTAGGCAATAACCAAGGAGAGAACAAAAACTCAGCAAAGTAAAATGAGCAATGTTATGTTTTATATGATTGGTACTGTATTGTTGGGTTATATGGTTTATGTGTCGTATAATGTGTTAATAAAAATAATAAAATGTTTGAATAGAAAAATCTGAGGGTTTAATGTCACTTTAAGGCTCTGTGTGTTTTTTCTGTAATAAATCCGTAATAATAAGTTCAGCAAAAAATAATGTTTCCTTTAAAAATGTCCTGCAGCACTCTATTTTACTTGTATATCCCAGCCACGGACTCAGGCCCTTGTTAACAGTTTCTCCAGCTTCCGGTCGGGGGGGGGGGATGTGGGGGGGTTGTACTTTCATCACTTCCTTCACCCTCTGATCCCGTTCATCGGTCTACATGAGGCAAAACTCATAGCACCATCGCACATGCACGGTGTGCACAAGCTTTTGTATGCAATTCTCCCAGGCTACCTATGCGCAGGCAGCATTCTTACATCACCCTGTAGTTTCTCCTGGGAGCACGCATCAAAAGGTGGCTCCATGGGATTCTTCATGTGAAGGAGCTACCCTTAAGGTCCCCACACGCCTTACGATAATCGTACGATAATCGCGGGGAATAAAAAAATGACTATTGTATTAATGAATGCAGAGCTGCATTAGTTTTTTTCTTTCATATGTGTATAATTCAGATCTAGCACTGTTATTAACACATGAATGTGAAAGGCAGTTTTCTACCTGAGTGAATAGCCTGTCAATGTGTAAAATTTAAAAACTGGCTTTAATCCAGAAAATTATTTATTACCAAATTGTTCTGTCTTATCTGACCACAAATCCACACAGCTGAAATTTTAATATAGCGTGGACAGTAAGCAAAATTCAATAGGCAATTGTATTCAATAATTTATTTTGCTCATGATGCGTTAGTTTCATAATGTTTCCAGCAACCAGCGCCAAATACCAAAGGGAACAGTTCATTTACAAGGTAATAGATTTTATTTTTACTTCACTGTAAATAGCTTTAATTTTTTTATATTTGTCCTAATCATTAGTTATCCTTCCTGGTCACTTACTTTATGTTCAATTAATCTCAATAAACCCGGGTGTGACAAGCACCTTTAGCGTTGTGTGTTATATCCTCTTGTCAAGAGCAAATTCACGACAGCAATGTGTATCCTAGAACATTAAAAAACGTAATCAGAATACACACTGTTCTTAGATTTCTCCTCAGGTAATTAAATAATCATTGAATGGCAATTAATCATGGTTAAATACAAAACCTGTGAAAGACGTGCTATGTACACATCTGAGTCTATTTAATACTCAAATACTTTGACTATCTAAGTCAAACAATGATTCATTAAACCTCCCTTTCTACATAATGGCGAGGCTCAATCTGAAGTGAATAACTTGCAAATCTTTTGTTCCTTAATAAAAGACATCAAACCGCAGAGAGCATTATTCTTTCCATGCTAACGAAATACTTTAATTGCATGAACTGAAATGTGTTCAGGTGCTCGCTATCCATTTTTACCTTCACAGGTGTTTTCAGTCATTTGCAGTCAATTTGTTAAAATCTTTTGATCCAAGTATGAAAATACTTGACATTGTACCACACCTGTGTGTTTTTGTATCGAGTAAAGCCGAGGCTTTACTTTGTACTGTAGTCCACAACACATTTAGGGTGATAGGCTTCTTTGTTTGATTTTTGCTTTGGATTTTTAAAGGCACAGTCCTCTTGAAAAAATTATAAATGCACACTTCTTCAAAAATAATAAATGCACACTTCTTCTTCAAAAATAATAAATGCACACTTCTTCATAAAAAGAAAAAATGGTCATGTATTATTTTTTTTGCATTGGAGCCAGTAAAGCATTGCAGCGATGGCCAGTGGATCACGGGCAGACTCTTCCTCCCATCCACGTCCATAGTGAGGACATTCAGAGGAAAAGGAGGAAGAATGAATAGACTACAAGTGCGGTGATGTTATTGAGAACTAGAAGTCCCTCTGCTGTGGTAGCTGATAGGACTTGTAGTTTCTTCATTCACAGATCCTGCCAAAAGATCTGTGAATGAAGTGCATGTGTGGGTGGAGTCACACCAGATTCATAAAATAGCATCAGCCTGCCGTAAGAGGAAACCCCCTGCAAATTAGGTAATTGGGGGGCAGGGGGAAGGTTGGTGGGTTGCGATGTGACCATGTTTCATGTTACACCCTGAATATGAGTGTAACATGAAACATGGTCCAAAAGGTAAAATATCCTTATACTTTATGGGTGTTTCAAGTATTGGTCACAAACCCAATATTTTAATTTCTTTATTCTATTTATTTACATGGTTCCTTTCTTGTCACACTATTGTTATTATATAATTTTTTAATGTACATGATGCCTTTCTTTCCACAATATTTTAATGTCTTTTTAATGTATATGTTGCATTTCTTGTTAGACTTGTATTACTTTATTTTAGGGCTGGTAATGATTACAATTTTCATGTTCGATCAAATGTTTTTTAAATCAATTAATCGATTAATTTCGATTAATTATAACGCACATACAGATCCAACTACATTGGCCTATACACATACAGCACAGCAATGAAGTAATAAAATGAACTGGGATCACACTAACCCAGCACGTTATTAATCTCACGTGCCCCACTCAATATGGCTGCCGCTTGAGTGGGGCAACTCAGAATAATAACGTTCTGGATTAGTGTGATCCCAATTCATTTTATTACTTCATTGCTGTGCTGTATGTGTATAGGCCAATGCCTTGGCTGGCGCTCGTGCAGAAAGTTTTTTGGGCAAACTCACCGGCCCAAGTGACTCCGTCGGCTAACGAAGGGGGGAGGAGTCCGGTGATGTCACGGACATCGACGTCACCTGACTCCTCCCCCCTTCCCTTCGTTAGCCGTCACGGACATAGACGTCACCGGGCTCCTCCCCTTTCCCTCCGTTAGCCGACGGAGCCACTTGGGGAAGGGGGGAGAAGTACGGTGACGTCGATGTCCGTGACGTCACCGGATCGCCGACGGGACTCCCGGAAGCCGGCGGAGAGGTGAGTGTTTTTATTAGCGATCAAAATTATTTTAATCGATCAAAAAGTTTAACGATTAATAGAGAAAAGAATCTTTAATTTTACAGCTCTACTTTATTTCATTTATCTACATTGTTGTCAAATTTATTAAAATGGTGCCATAGTACTTTACATATTTATTTTTCACTATTTGTTACAGGATGTGTCCCACACCAACCAATCAGAATAAATCTATAACTGATCCAACTTCAGTAAAGTGAAATCTAATTAGCCAATATGGGTCACTGCATTCCTGTATAAGGTAGCTAATCATGTCTATACATCACATTATACCTGAACTATCACTGCCCCCCAACAAACATTGTTATCACACATACTGCCTTTCTATTATTGGTGCATATTTAATTATTTTTTTATTTTGAAGATGGGTAAGAAGTCATCCAATCATTATAACTAAAGCTAAACCATACACTATAAATCTGACTGTAAATGTTCTGTACTATCTCCATTAGATTTACCAAAATTATATAATGTGAGGACCTGCTAAACAATCCATGCAATTTGTATTCTTTCAGAAAAACCCTTACACTATTTTGTTGTTGGCAGAGCTAAAGGAGATGGTACCATAAAATTGTAAAGTGTATGGCCAGTTTTAGATGAAGTAGAGCAGAGAGGTCAAAGCCATCTATAATTATTTTTTTCAAGCAAACTTCCTGCTCAATACCTGAGAACTCCTACAATCAGGGAATTCCCAAACATACCCACTACAGACTCCTTGTCATTTCTTACATGCATTAAGTCTTATGCAAAATAAAGAAGAAATTGCCTTGGAAACATGAATGAAACATACATTTGATTGGTGCTATAGGAAGCAAAGTGAGAACTGAAATTACACAGGACAGCCTTCAGGAAATATACCCTGATGACCTTGTGAGGGGATCTCTGAATTCTTACTGCAGTGGATTATAGAGCAATGATTTTGCTGAGTTTGGAAAAAGGTTTTACTTGGTTCCCTTTGTTTACACTTGCTTTGGGTTAAATGGATAGGCATTGGACAGAATGCACTTCCACTAAGAATATTATGTGAATTATTCACATTTTTACAGGCAGCAGGGTATGATCAACATAATGAAAAGAGTGGTGAGGCAGTACTGTCCTACACATCTCTAGGACAGAAGCCATGCAACCGAAAGCATCTGATCCAAAAGAAAAGAGATGCATGAGATATCTGTTTGCATTTCCTTGAACCATAAAAGTGGACAAGAGGATTACTGCCTTTCCTCCAAAAGGTCTCTTAATATTTGACAAGGCTATATATCCTTGAATGTAATGTCAAGAGTTTTGATGGTGTGTTGTTACTTAGTGTGCAAAAGATCAATAAAGCTTTATAAATATGTTCTACATTTTCCGAGGGAGTCACATTGCAAAATAAATCAATACATTATAATGTTGCCAGCAAAAGTCCCTATGAATTGTCTTCCATACAAGATTAGCAAGCACTAATCCACCTGTTACAACAAACTGTAGGTCAGCATTATTTTTATTCCACTGAACTCAACATTGTTGTTCACTCTGTTGCATGCTCTATGCAACTGGATCTTTAGTAGGTGGAATAAAACGTATTTAAACCTCTCTAGACTGCATGTGCATCACATAGCTTTGCTCATTTTTGGCAGATACTTGTTCATAGTGGATATATTGAAAGAGTTAAACCCTAAAAATACATTGAAGTACCCTAAACATTAAAAAATGTATCTTATTTGTGCATCACTAGGCTGTAGGACCTCAAATCATCTCTGAATTGGTGTTGACGCGGTACTTCCTTCTGGGGGGTGGCTGCTTTTTGTTTCCCATGGTCTCTTTTCAAGCTCGCTCCCATGATAGACTAAATCTCACATTTAGTTTACTCATTTGTATTGAAACTGTAGTCCATCATGGGAGTGTGCTTGGAGTGGTGAATACTTTACAATACACACAGGGCCCAAGGGGAACAGAAATCGCCAACCTCCAGAAGAAAGGACAGTGTCAGCATGAGTTCAGAGATGATTTAAGGATCTACAGCTGAGTGATACACAAATAGGTTACATTTTTATTCATAGTTAAGCTACTTCAATGTGACAGAGAGAGCTGCCTACCTAAGAGTTTCTCTGACCAGTTTGGGAGAGGAGGCCATGCACAGCCTACAGGTATGCCATTTAAGGGTACATTCACACCAGAAGTCACACTCAACCTCACAGCTGCTGGTGTGTGTATTATCAAACGGTGCTGATGCATTCAATCGAGCCGCATTGCAGTTTTTCTTTTATTTTCTTGTAGAACTTTATGGAAATGTCACAAGTGACACTTACTTCAGTTCTATGGGCTCACTGCAGTGTGATGTCTCACTGCATACTGGAATTTTTTTTACTTATATTGAAAAAAAGTAATTTTCTTGTTTTTTTCTGCCTTCACAGCATGCTCATTTTTGTTGACTATCTCCTGCTAGCTGCCCAGGACTAAGTCTTCTACCTCATTGGGGCTGATTTAAAAATCTTTACACAATTGTGTTAACATTCACTTCAATTATCCAATCATGTGAAAAACAAATTCCTGTTACCTTTGATTACCCGATCGTGTACATTAAGCTGCTTCATTGTCTTTATCTTACTTACCCTCCTTGCCAGAGAGGTTTTATTCAAAAGACAGGGATCTGGAACTGCTTACGTTCAGCAATCAGAGCTAAAATTGGCAATTGCGCCAGGTCTTCCTTCTTAAAGAAAGACATGCAGTCCTTAATGACTGTAGCGTATTCCTCACCTATAATACTATTTTGACAATGTTGCTATGACAAAAAGTGAAGGACTCTCACCATTGTGGATACAGACAACAATTAAGACAGTAACTGACAGTAGGAAAAAGAAGAAAGCATAGCATTTAAATAGAGAAGGGGCATAGATACAGCCTAATTTTCAACTAGGCAATGGGAGACCAGACTCTCAAAATACCAATGACAAGAGTAGAGGCTAAAACCTCCAGTGGAAGATCTTCACAGACACAAGAGCGGACCTCAAGGGGAATTACAAAACAACAAATATGTAGGCATAGCTTATAGTTCTCTGCAGATCAAAAAACGTATAACTGATGGCAAGAAGCTAATGAGAACCTCTTCATAGCTTGTGTTTTCTTTCAAATGGACAAAGCCATCTCTCCACTTATGTTGGTCTGGTAGGTTACACTTTTTCATTGAGTGGTTTAAGAAAAAAGAAAGCACTAAATGTTGTAGAAAGGTCATTAGTACCATCGCTTCATATAAGAAGGGTTTTGTTAAAAAAACAAATAAAGTCTAGAATCAGAAAGCAAACACAGGTGTGTAAATTCAAATACTAGTTTAAATAAACAGCATATGATAATAATTATAAATGAAGTGAACAATAAAAGCAAAAGACTAAGTTAATACATTATATATCAAGTCACGTACTACTGCTTGCTACATATGACAAGTACAGTGAGAATAGTTAGGTGCTACAAAAAGAGGGCAAAGTTGACAAAACGCAAAAATAGTTATTTACATTCAAAGCTCTAAGAAGAAATGTAAAAGTGTACAGAATAAGAACTCATAAAGTAAAACAGTCAAAGATTCCCTGGGCCCAGTAAAAAAAACTAAGCAATATTACACAGGAAAAGGCACCATCTTTTCCTTGTTTCATTATTTCAATTATACAATACCAACAAATTCCGCAACACTTTCCCCGGTACACAGACCATTCACATAAGCCCTGTTCCTAATGCCATTTTAGAAAGTAGCCTGTTAACCTAGCAGCACGTTTCTAAGTTGTGAGAGAAAGTTGGATGACCTGGACGGGCACAAAGCTGGGACACAAAGCAGATTGTGTCCCTGGTATAACACCAGCAGTGCAACAAAAGGTTACCAGCTAGTTAGCCAATGGGTTACCTCTTTAATAAAAAAAAACATTCTGTGGAATGGAGTAACGTTAATGTAACAATCCAGAAAGTGTTGTAAGTTTTAAGTAAACTCTCCACAATCCCATCAAACCAGATTGAACAGTTCCTTTTAGTAGAACTACGGACATACTCTATTATATCTGTATATCTACGAATGTATTTTTCATATTTAGCAGGTGGTATGAATCAGGGGCATAATATTTTTCTTTATGCATTATCATGGTGTGCATAATTAAACTCCAGAAAAAAAGAGATGAGTAAAGTAGCAAAGGCTCAAAATGAATCATTTCCAGACTATGACATTAAAGGCAGCCTGGGAATTGTTTACAGTTAGGTGGTCAGGAGTACTCAGGTAATACTAAGATGAAATAAAACATTATAGATAGATAGGCTGCTTCCTCTGTTTATGCTCACAATATTTTTTTTTTAATTGACTGGAGTTTATCTGATGGAGCTGCAGTACAGAGGTAAGTAATATTTATACAGCACAAACAGAGCAACCTGTCAGGCAATCATTTGTACTTCAAAAACCAATAATAAGTACTAACACAGAGATCAAATTTAGTAAAGACAGCCAACACAAGATGTTTTATGATTGGCAAAAAACAACAACTTTTGTACAATGTACATTGTAAATAAAAGGCCACAAAACCCACTTTGCCGTTTTATGTATTTTGCGCCACAAACAAAAAAGTAATATTTATAATTATTGGCCAAAATGGAAGCCATATGCCTACCTATTCACTTCTATCTTTCCTGGGAATCTTTAGTCCATGCCTGGGTTAATATCCCTAAGCTCTCTACTCTCTCTGCTTCCGGAGTATTTTGTAACACACTGAGAAGCAATGAAGCAAGTTAAGCTCAGCGCAAATTGTCAAGCAGTGAAAATATAGCCAAACAATGGCATATTGTAGTTCATCTGACCCAAAATCATGTGCCACAGCCTCTGGGATTTACCTTCACATTAGGTAAATTGTCCTGAGCATCTTACAACTCACATTTCTTCGAAGATACTCTTTTGAGCTCAGGAGGATGCAGTTACAGTAATCCTTTATCCAAGCCTGGACAAGTGCCATGTCATTTTTATTCGAACAATACGCCGCTAACAAACTGATTGAACTCTAGAATCTCTCTTTTGTCTGCCTCTTTCAAATTAATTACCTAAAAAGAGACACCAGAAAACACACTTCGTTTAGCTATCAGAAACTTTAGCACAGTGTTTATTAAAGTTCCCAAGGCTTGTAACACAGGATAGATCTTTGCTATGACTATATACAGGTGGAAAAAGAAATACTATGTGATATAAAAATTGACTCCATCTCTAGGTTATTAGCTTGTATATGTTATTAGGAAGAAAAAAAAATGTTTAGGGCTGCAACTAATGATTTTTTTCATAATCGATTTAGTTGGCCAATTATTTTTTTTTAATTAATTGGGTAAAGAAAAAAAATGAAATACCATCTTTTATTTATAATAAAATACCCAAATGGTGTGTTACAAGAAATGTCTACTTCAGAATAAAACTGCAGGCACATTTTTTGCAATCACAAGGCACTGGAATGCACAGCAGTGCGGGCGATCACCCTGCGGATGGGAGGCGCATTTGGGGTGCCATTGAAATGAATGGCACCACAACACACATTCTGCAGCAAAATGTGTCAGGCCGAAAACCAAAAATTACTTTTCCCACCTTTTGTAATATATTTTTTTATTATGTGACAGCACGTTTGAGATGACAGGTTCTCTTTAAGGACCCCTAGCGTCACCTTTCCACTTCACTGGGGAATGACAGCTGCCTGCTGAGGCAGATGAATGTAAATACAGCATGCAGTGGCTTGGAGCAGAAGCCTGCAATCTATTGGCTATATTAAATTACAATAGCCAATAGCAGGCTAGCTATTTCACCCACCCACTGCCTGCTGTCAATCAGCAAGGGCAGGGACAGAAGGAAAAAGTTATCTTTCAGGTCCTCCTCTGCTGATTGACAGCAGACAGCGGACGGGTGCCATAGCAAGCCTATTATTGGTTATTGCAATTTAAATTATCCAATATCAGGCTGGCTATTGTTTCCAGCTTCTGATGGGAGAATTGACGCCGGTGTTCTATCAATCCCTCGGACTTGAGTCCTGGCTTAAGCCACTGGCATAAGAGGCGTCACGGGGGAGCAGAGAAGGGAACATGGAGGGCAGAGAAGGAGGAACGGGGCGGGCAGAGGAGGAGGAACGGGACAGCAGAGTGGGAATGCAAAGTCACCGCAGTCTCTTCTCCCCGCTGGTGTCGGCTGCAGTGGTCTGTGTCCCCACTGCCTCTGCCGATACAGGCGGGGAGAGTAGCGGGGATTGAAAGGGACACAGACCGCTGCAGCCAGCACCAGCAGGGAGGAGCAGAGCGGCAGCGGCAGCAACTAATTGAAAACCAACTAATCGATAATTAAAATCGTTGACAACGATTCTCATTATCAATTATAATCAATTTAATCGTGCTTATATTCGGGACGGCTTATACTCGAGTATATATACGGTAGTTGTTGCAGCCCTAAAAATGTTAAGCTCTCTATTTTTTAAAGTGCAGTGTTTTCAGCAATTACAGTTTGTAGTTGTAGTACTGTAGACATTAAAGAAAACATGTCATGAAAGATAAATGACCACTTTGTGGCTGTTATACTGATTTTCTCATTATACTCAGAGGAATTTATCAAAACTGGAGCAGACAAAATCTGGAGCAGTTGCCTGCAGCAACCAATCAGCTTATCTATTCAATTTGCTCAGTATAGCTTGGAAAATGAAAGATAGATGCCATGCACTTCTGCTCTAGATTTTGTCTGTTCTAATTTTGATAAATTCCCCCCTCTGAGTCCACGATCGCAACAAGTTTGCATATAAGGACTGCCCTAGGATTTTCTGATCTGCATACTTATTTGGATCAGTGAAGGATTTAGAATTTTGGCATAATAGCCATGAAACTATTTACAAAAAGAGGACAGTAATGACAGTATCTTATCCAAGAAATACAGAAAAAAACAGGGGCACCAAACAAAATGTTGACAGACCATGAAAAGTTTAGTTCATACAGTGTCAAGAGGACAAGTTAGGCTTAGCCATCAGCTCTTGGAGCCTGCACAGAGTTTAATTTGTATAATTTGTAACCCAAGCCAGATTCTTATCAGCAATATTAAACTAAAATAAACTCTTCATGGCATTTCAACATTTGGTGTGGTGTTGTGCTCCTGTTTTTTCTTATACTGTACCACTTGGATTTCACCCAAAGTGCCCTTGAAAACTTCAATATGGTTTATATTTGGACTGTGAGATTGATCTACATTTGGATCCTGTGCCTCCTATTTCCCATTTCTCACACTGTATTTCTCATGATAAGTTTGCTTTAAATCTGGCCCAACTTCTCACTAAACTGCCTAGAGAGTATCCAAAGATTTGAGTCAGCTTGTGAGTCGTGTCTTTTGGGGTAAGCACACTTTCTAGGATTTTCAAGGCAAAAGAGAAGCGGTGAAAAAACCCAATACCTATTAAATAACTATTTAACCAACTTGAATTGTACCTTTTACGGTTTACACATATCCAAGTGACTGAAGAGGAATCACCTTATCCCTTAGTGTCCACATCTCTAAGATATCAAAATGACACATTTCACAATAAAATCACAAGGAAGATGAAAATTAGTTTGTAACTGATATATAAATGTAGGCTTGTAAATACACCACCATTTCAGAGCTAAACACAATCCTACATGAAGGAGGGAGGGATTCCTATCTTTACGAACATGGGACAGCAAGGACAATGGTAGGGTGTTTCCATGTCATCACTTATTTTCATTAAAAATGAAGCAATGGCTAAAACAGCCATTTAAAGTCAACCTCAAAGGTTTGAGAAGACATAATAACCCAAAAAATATTTTATGGCATACGACTCTTTTGGGGAGCCCCTTCTTATATTACTTCCCTACTGATGGGGTGGCTGCAGTAGTTTTCTTTTTTTTAGGCTTTTTCCTTTAATTTCACCTGGTGATCTGATTTTTCAGATATTACAATTTCCTTTAATAGACCAAGCAGACCAGGAGAAGTGGAAGTTAGAGGATTGAGACAACAA